TACCAATACCAAGATTTCTGTAATATAAGAGCACAAGAAAAACGTATGAGGCTAAATGGTATAAAAGATAAGTAAAACCTGTCTACTGATTAGTCACTCTTTATCAGTACTATGCTAATAACTTTATACTCATTATTTTATTTAATCATTGCAACTCCCCTATAACATAAACTTTTCTTAACAGCTAAGGATACTGAATGTCTCAGTCTGTTTGTGCTTCTTTAACAAAACACCTGAGACTGTGTAATTTATAAAGAAGAGAAATTAATTTTCTCATAGTTCTGGAGGCTAGAAGTCTACGATCAAGGCAGCAGTATGTTTGGTTGTCTGATGAGGGCTGAATCCTCCAGAGGGGAGGAATGCTATGTCCTCACATAGCAGAAGGCCGAATATCAACCTAACAAGCTAGCTAAATGCTGAGAGAAGCCTCTTGTACAAGGTCCTTAATTCTATTCATAAGAAAGGAGTACACATGTCATAATCACTGTTTTAGGGCCCATCTCTTAACACTCCCACATCACCATCACCTGCATTTTGAAGGAGACACATTCAGATCATAGCCTTGAGGTTCATAGAAATTAATTGCCATAAAGATAGCATAGGTAAAAAAGTGATCAGTGTCTGTATGAACTCAAACACTATGTTCTATCTCTTTTACCTACTATGCTGCCCCTCTTTGATAGGATCAAACTTATAGACTAGTTCATTTAAACTTTATTCCTGTAATAAGAATGTATCTAATTATACAGCTAAAACCTCAAGTGTCTCCTGAAATACTCTTAAAGCAGTAGTGTCCAATCTTTTGGCTTCCTTGGGTCACATTGGAAGAAGAATTGCCTTGGGCCACACATAAAAAATACTAACACTAAAAATAGCTAATGAGCTTTAAAAAAATTTCATAATGTTTTAAGAAAGTGTACTAATTTGTTTTGGGCCACAATCAAAGCCTTCCTGAGCTTACATGTGCCCCTTGGGTTGCAGGTTAGACAATCTTGTCTTAAACTAAAAAAGAGTTTAGAACTAAAATAAAGATATGAAATCAACAGTTTTTTTTTCCTTCCCCATTCCTAAAAGTTTATAGCAGCTTTATTTATAATGGTCCCAAACTGGAAACAGTCTACATGGTCTTCAACTAGTAAATGGGTAAACAAACTAGTACATGCTTTTAAGAGAATATTGCTCAGCAACAAAAAAATGAACTACTGATACATGCAACAGTTGGATGAATCTTAAAAGCTTCATTCTAATAACAGAAACTAGCTACAAAAGGTTACATATCTGTGATTTAATTTATATGACATTTTGTGAAAGGCAAAATACAGAAACAGAAATCAGATCAGTGGTTACCAAGAGCTGGAAGTGGAGACAGGGATGACCCCAACGTGGTGCAAGGGAACTTTTCAAGGTGATGTGGGTATTCTATACCTTGATTGTAGTGGTGGTTGTGGTGGTTCAATCCTATGCAGTTGTTAAAACCTATCAAATTATACACTTAAAACCGGTGAATTTTATCCTGTGTACATTATACCTCACTAAAGCTGATTTTATTTTAATTTTTTGTTATACTTTAAGTTCTGGGATACATGTGCAAAACATACAGGTTGTTACATAGGTATACACGTGCCATGGTGGTTTGCTTCACCCATCAACTCATCTACATTACATATTTTTCCCAATTCTATCCCTTCCCTATGCTCCCTGCCCGCAACAGGCCCCAGTTATGTGATATTCCCCTCCCTGTGTCCATGTATTCTCATTGTTCAATTCCCACTTAGGAGTGAGAACACGCAGTGTTTGGTTTTCCATTCCTGTGTTAGTTTGCTGGGAACGATGGTTTCCAGTTTCATCCATGTCCCTGCAAAGGACATGAACTCATCCTTTTTATGGCTGCATAGTATTTCATGGTGTAAATGTGCCATATTTTCTTTTTTCAGTCTATCATTGATGGATGGGTATTTGGGTCGATTCCAAGTCTTTGCTATTGTGAACAGTAGTACAATAAACATGTATGCATGTATCTTTACAGTAAAATGATTTATAATCCCTTGAGTATATACCCAGTAATGGCGTTGCTGGGTCAAATGGTATTTCTGGTTCTAAATCCTTGAGAAATCACCACACTGTCTTCCACAATGGTTGAACTAATTTACACTCCCACCAATTTGTAAAAGCCTTCCTATTTCTCCACATCCTTTCCAGCATCTGTTGTTTCCTGACTTTTTAATGATCACCATTCTAAATGGCATGAAATTGAAAAACCTGACAAAAAAAAAGCAATGGGGAAAGGATTCCCTATTTAATAAATGGTGTTGGGAAAACTGGCTAGCCATATGAAAAAACTGAAACTGGACCCCCTCCTTACACATTATATAAAAATTAACTCCAGATGGACTCAAGATTTAAACATAAGACCTAAAACCACAAAAACCCTAGAAGAAAATCTATGCAATATTATTTAGGACATAGGCATGGGCAAAGACTTCATGACTAAAACACCAAAAGCAATGGAAACAAAAGCCAAAATTGACAAATGGGATCTAATTAAACTAAAGAGTATCTGCCCAGTAAAAGAAACTATCAACAGAGTGAACAGGCAGCCTACAGAATAGGAAAAGATTTTTGCAATCGATTCATCTGACAAAGGGCTAATATCCAGAATCTACAAGAAACTTAAACAAATTTGCGAGAATAAAAAAACCATCAAAAAGTAGGCAAAGGATATGAACAGACACTTTTCAAAAAAAGCCATTTATGTGGCCAAAAACATATGAAAAAAAGCTCATCATCACTGGTCATTAGAGAATTCAAATCAAAACAGGTCTTTTTCTGACAGTCAGTTAAAAGACTTAATGGAGAAAAAAATGGTATGTATAAGAATGGCATAATATTAAATACTTCTAATACTTAGAAGTTATCCTAATGATAAATTTGTAGCATTTCTATAGGAAAAACTACAGAATATTACTGAGATAATATCTATGTTGATATAAATGATCTATCTACCTACCTATCATCTATCTAAAGGGCGAAAGGTATGTATTTCCAAATACTAATGCGATTTTAATTTTTCCATGTTAAGTTACAGGATTAATGCCATTCTTCTCAAATTTATAAAGATTTATGTGTCTTATATCAAGCCTGATGAGATACTTCTAAAATTAGAGAAATATTTAATAGATGGGGTTATAAAAGCACTTTGGAATCATTAAACAACCAGTGAGAACATGAAGGAAAAGAAGTAATAAAAAAAGAACTAAATTATTTTTTTCTGTATGTAAAAACTCAAGTTCAAAGTCAAAAAGTGAGAAAATAAATCCTACTTAGCAAATAACTAATATTCTTAATGCCTAAAGTACTTACAAATGGAAGTCTGTTTTCTACACATCACTCAAAGAAATAATACCACTAATCTTGAAAAGTTACATATGAAAGTTTTAATACTATATCAGAAAACTTGACAAAGTGATGTATTCAAAAATATATAAATAAATTGAGGTGAAATCTTGTATTACTGTGCAAGAAACCCACAGTAATACAATAGAAATAAGAGAACAAGAAAAAGAGAAAACAAATAAAATAAATAAAACAATGACATAAGTAAGTTCTCACATGCCAATAATTATTTTAAATAGCAAAGGTCCAGTTACACACATTAAAATGTAAAGATTGGCACGATAGATCAAGAGAAAAACATGATCTAGCTCTGTGGTGTTCTAAAAAAAATTATCTTCAAATACAACAACATAAGTAGGTCCAAACCAAAACGAAGAAAAAAATGTATACCATGTAAAAATTAATTTAAGAAAACAGGAGTTGTTATGTTAATATCTGATAGATTATGCTTCATAACAAAAACATTACTAGAGACAAAGAGGGACGTTACCTAGATAAAAGGATTAATCCACCAAAAAAAAAAAAAAAAACCCAATGTATGTACTCCAGACAATGTGGCTGCAAATGTATGAAGCAAAAACTGATAGAGCTGAAAAGACAAATCCACAACCAAAATTGGGAACTGCAATTCTGCAACTTCTCACCTTCAGCAAACTAATAGAACTAACATAAAATCAGCAAAAATATATAACTAAACAACACCATTGACCAATCAAACTCTATATGTTCTAATTGACATAGATAGCATATTTACCTGACAAGAGCAAAATGTACATTTTCTTCAAGCACCCATGGAACATTCATCAATGTAAACCACATCCTGGACCATAAAGCTTCAATTTAAAAGAACTGAAATCACAAAGTGTGTTCTATGACTATACTGGAATTGAATAAGAAATCAACAATAGAAGGATGACAGAAAAATCTCCCAGCACTTGAAAACTAAACAAAACACATCTAAATAACCCATCAGTCAAAGAGTCTCAGGGAAAATAAAAGATATACATTAAATTACATAAACATGGAAATATGACTGTTAAAATTTATGAAGCACAGCTAAAGCAGTAGTGAGAGGAAATTTTATAGCACTTAATGTTTATATTAGAGAAAATATCTCAAGTCAGTACTCTAAGCTTCCACATCAAGAACTTAGGAGAAGAGCAGCCCAGAGTGAGAAGGATGAAAAGCCAGAAATCAACAAAAAATGAAACTGAAAAACCACAGAGAACAGTGAAACAAATAATGGGCTCTCTGAAAACATGAGTAAAATTGATAGACCTCTAGCAAGACTGACAAAAAAAGAAAATACAAATTACCAATATAAAAAATGAAACTGCTTGTCTCTCTACATACCCCACAACATCAAAAGGATTTAAGGGAATACCATGAAAAATTCTACACACATACATTCAACAACTTAGATGAAATGGACCAATTTTTTGACATAAACTACCACAAGTCACCCAATATGAAATACATAATTTTAATAGCCTCAATACTGTCAAATAAATTAAATTTTGAATTTTAAAACTCCCCACAAAGAAATCTTTAAGCCCAGAATATTCTATCAAACCTTTAAAAAAGAATTAACCCTAATTCTACACAATCTTTTCCACACAATACAAGAGAAGGGAACACTTTCCAGTTAATTTTATGAAGCTAGTATTATCCTGATACCAAAATCAGACAAAGATAATACCCTTCAAAAAAAAAGAAAGACCAGTATCCCTCATGAATAAAAAGTTAAAAATCCTTAACAAAATATTAATAAATATAATTCAGCAACATACAAAAATAACTACACATCATGACCAAGTGGGGTTTATTCAGGGAAACAAGGACAATTCAATATTCTAAAATCAACAAACATAATTACCATATTAACAGGATACAAAAAAATGATCATATCAATTGATTCAGAAAAAAATATGACAAAATTTGACACCCATTTATGATAAAAAAAAAACCTCCCAGCAAACTGTGAATAAAGGGAAATGTTTCAACATTAAAGAACGTCTACCAAAAAAAACCCCTACAATTTACATTATTTTTGATGGTGACAATGGCTGAATGTTTTTTACCTAATATCATTAAGGCAAAGATGTTCACTCCCACAACTCTTATTCAGCATAATGATGTCAGTTCTAGCCAGCACTATAAGGCAAGAAAAGTAAGTAAAAACTGTACAAATCAAAAAAAAAAAGGAAATAAAACTGTTCCTATTTGCAGATGATGTAACTGACTACAGAAAAAATCCCAAGGGGTTAACAACCACAACAAAAAATCCTAGGACTAATAAGTAAATACAGTAGGATCACAAGATACAAGATAAATGCAAAAACATATATTGCATTTCTATATATTAACAGTGGAAATGTTGACAACAATGTTTAAGGGAAAAGAGGACTAATTTTAGGAATAAAAAATATTTCAAAGCATATGATTTCAGACTGAAAATAAATACACTATGAGAAACTCATGTTTTTTTGTGTGTATATGCTTTGGTAATCACTGTGCTAAAGGGCACATACACAGCCAAGTCTAAAACTTTCTGAATTGTGTAACAGAAAGACTACTTTTGAAAAACAAAATTCACAAAATATGACAGATTCTGTATAGTCTTCTATACAATAACTAACCTCTGATGAGACAGGTGCATTAGTTAAGCTTCTACCAGAGAAACAAAACCAGTGGGAGATATATGTTACAGTATTCATTGCAAGGAATTGGCATATGCCATTCTGGAGACTTGCTAGGCAAATCTAAAGTCCATTAGGATAGGCCATCAGAAAGGGTAGGTTGGAACTCTCAGACACAAGTTGAAGTTACAGTCCACAGGCAAAATTTTTTCAGCTAGACAACCTCAGTTCTACTCATTTAGATGATTGAATGAGGCCCACCCAAATTATCATCTAGGATATTATTCTTTACTTAAAGCCAACTGATTATGAATGTTAAACATATTTATAAAATACTTTCACAGCAACACTTAGATTAGTATTAAATCAAATAATTGGGGACAATATTCTACCCAAGTTGACACATAGAATTAGAACAGACTATTACAAAAGGTAAGACTATTGTGTGTTTTGAAGGGTATACATTATGGCTCAGGGTAAGGAATTTGAAATCACAACCAATGCTAAAAACTCATTTCTCATAGTTGGTGCAGTCAATTTATAATCTGAAAGCTACAGAGCACCGCAAGAGAGAATAGAGGAATGTAAAGGACATGGTCAATGAGAATGCTAATGTGATATTGTTGATGTAAAAGGGGCAACCTGGGACCTGGATTTTTAAAGCAGAAAGTAGCTATGAGAGATAATTTATTTGGTCAGTACTCCTTGGATGTGATGAATACATCTCTACCAGTCCTTTCTCAAGGTCAACATACCCTAGGGAGACATTACAGTCTCACAAGTGACCATGACTTACAATCAGCACAATGAGATTATGCAACAGAGAATGAGGCTAAAGAGGTAGCCAGCATCCAAAGTCTGCATGGTTTTGGTTTCACAATGGAGAAACTAAGCTTAATTTTGTAAGTGAACAGGAAGTCAACGAGTGTTTTAATCTAGGGAGAGATATGATCAGATGTTGTGGAATACGATGTTAGAGAAAATCTTGCACTGAGTGCTTCATCAACAATAATCACCACTTTCTTTTTTTTCTAGGTTTTTTTTTTTTTTTTTATTCTACAGTCAAGAACACTCATTATTTTGGACATTTCACAGAGGTGAAGAAGGTGCTGTTCTGGCTTATGAGAAACACTAGGCCAGCGCGGTGGCTCACGCCTATAATCCCAGCACTTTGGGAGGCCGAGGTGGGTGGACCATGAGGTCAAGAGATCGAGACCATCCTGGTCAACATGGTGAAACCCCGTCTCTACTAAAAATACAAGAATTAGTTGGGCATGGTGGTGCACGCCTGTAGTCCCAGCTACTCGGGAGGCTGAGGCAGGAGAATTGCTTGAATCCAGGAGGCGGAGGTTGTGGTGAGCCGAGATTGCGTCATTGCACTCCAGCCTGAGTAACAAAAGCAAAACTCCATCTCAAAAAAAAAAAAGAAAAAAACACTAGCCCCATTAGAAACAAGACAATTAAGTTTCTAATGAAAGTGTAGAGTGCTCCAAATATTTAATCCAGGTTTGAGAAGTAGTAGGCCAGTGATTTCATATGGATTGGGGGGCAGATAGAGACATTTGAAGTTCCTTGAATATGACTCTCTACCATTCTATAGTGGCCAGTGAGTCTAGCTATCTCAGTTTCTCTAGTTTCTGTGCTTTGATGAAGCAAAAAGTACATTGAATTTTGATGTTAGATAAACTTGGGTTCACTCATCTGATAAACAAATATCAGATGAACTTCAGACTTTTCCACTTATTTTCATTGGAACTCTTGGGCAAATCTTTAAGTCTCTCCAAATACTAGTTTCTTTTTATCTTTAAATTGAGATAAATTGCAGTTAACATGATGTATGGACCAGTACCTAACATCTCAATGGTAATGTATATAAATGGTCTAAATGCCCCCCTTAAAAAATACATATTAGCAGAATGTGAAAAAATCACAAACCAATTATCTACTGTCTTTAAGAGACATACCTAATGCATAAAGATTCTTGTAGAATCAAGGTAGAGGAGTAGAAGAAGATATTCTATGCAAATGGAAACCAAAAGCAAGCAAAAGTAGCTACTCTCGTATCACACAAAATAGACTTTAAAGCAAAAACAGTAAAAAAAAAAAAAGAAGTCATTGTATAATGATAAAAGAAGGAATTCAACAAGAAAATATAACAATCCTAAATATACATGCACCTAATTCCAGAGCTATCAGATTCATAAAACAGTTACTACTAAACCTAAGAAAAGAGAGAGACAGCAATACAGTAATAGTAGGGCACTTCAACACTCCATTAACAGCACTAGTTAGATCATCAAGGCAGAAAGTCAACAACAACAAAAAAAACACTGGACTTAAACTATACTCTAGAACAAATGAACCTAACAGATATTTACATAACATTCTATCCCCAAAATGCAGAATATACATTCTTCTTATCAATACGCAAAACATTCTCCAAGACAGATCATATAATGAACCACAAAAGAAATCTCAATAAATTTTTAAACACTGATATTATATCAAGTATCTTCCCAGATCACAGTGGAAAAAAACTAGAAATCATTTCCAAAAGGAAAGCTTAAAACTATACAAATACATGAAAATTAGCCAGGTGTGGTGGCTCACACCTGTAATCCCAGCACTTTGGGAGACTGAGGTAGGTGGATCACCTAAGGTCAGGAGTTTGAGACCAGTCTGGCCAAAAATGGAGTAAAACCCCATCTCCACTAAAAATATAAAAATTAGCCAGGCATGGTGGCATGTGACTGTAATCCTAGCTACTCGGGAGGCTGAGACAGGAGAATCAGTTGACCTTGGGAGGCAGAGGTTGCAGTGAGCCAAGATCGTGCCACTGCACTCCAGCCTGGGTAACAGAGTGAGACTTCATAAAAAAAAAAAAAAAGAAAGAAAAGAAAATTAAACAAACTGTTCCTGAGTGACTTTGGGTTAGCAATGAAATCAATATGAAGATTTTAAAATTTTTCAAAATGAATGATAAGAGTGACACAAGTTATGGAAACCTCTGGAGTATAACAAAAGCAGTACTAAGAGAAAGTTTATAGTATGAAGTGCCTACATTAAAAAAAAAGTCAGAAATATCACGAATTGATAACCTAACATCATACCACAAGGAACTAGAGAAACAAGAACAAAACAAACTCAAAGCTAGCTGAAGAAAGGAATAAGAAAGATCAGAGCAGGCCTAAATGAAATTGAAAACCACAAAAAGAAAGATCAATGAAATGAAAAGTTAGATCTTTGAAAGGAAACAAAATTGATAGAGCACTAACAAGATTAACCAAGAAAAAATAATTCAGACAAGCTCAATTAGAAATGAAAATGGAGACTTTACAACTGAAAACAAAAATACAAATGATTATTTGAGACAACTATGAACACTTCCATGCACAGAAACTTGAAAATCCAGAAAAAATGAATAAATTCCTGGAAACTTACAACCCCCCAGCTGAATCAGGAAGAAATGGAAATCCTGAACAGACCAATAACAAGCAGTGAGATTGAATCAGTAAAAACAAAACAAAACAAACTCTTTCAACAACAACAACAAAAAACCCAGGATCAGGTGGATTCACAGCTGACTTACACCAGACATTCAAGGAAGAACTGGTACCATCCTACTGAAATGATTCCAAAAGATTGTAACTCATTCTACAAAGCTGGTATCACTCTGATACCAACACCAGGAAAGGGAATAGCAAAACAAGAAAATTACAGGCCAATATCCCTAAAAAACACTGATGCAAAACTTTTCAACAAAATACTAGCAAACTAAATCTAACAGTACATCCAGAGAAAAAAAAAATGTCATGATCAAGTGGGTTTCATTCCAGGGATTCAGGAATGATTCAATATATGCAAGTCAATATATGTGATTCATCACATAAGCAGAATTAAAAACAAAAGCCATATAATTAGCTCAATAGATGCTGAAAAAGCATTTGATAAAATCCAGCATTATTTTATGATAAAAGCTTTCAACAAACATAGACAGAACATATCTTATAGATGTGTTCTATGTGGTATGGACATGGACATAGACATAAGCACAGATAGAACATATAAGAGCCATCTATGACAAACCTGCAGTCAATATCATACTGAATGGAAAAAAGCTGGAAGCATTTGCCTTAAAAACTGAAACAAGACAAAAAGGCTCACGTTTACTACTTATATTCAACATAGTACTAGAAGTCCTAGTTGGAGCATCAGGCAAAAGAAAAAAATAAGGCACATGCAAAATGAAAAAGAGGAAGTCAAACTATCTGTTTGCTGATGATATGAACTTATACCTAAAGACACTCGCAAAAGACTCCTAGATTTGATTAATGAATGCAGAAAAGTCTCAGGTTAGAAAATCAATGTACACAAATTAGCAGCTCTGCTATATAATGACAACCAAGCTGAGAATCAAACCAAGAACTCAGTCTCTTTTACAATAGTTAGAAAAAAAGTACCCTGGAATACAGCTAACCAAGGAGGTGAAAGATTTCTACAAGAAAAACTACAAAACACTACTGAAAGAAATCATAGATGATACAAACAAATGGAAACACAACTCATATTCATGGAATTGCAGGACCAATATTGTGAAAATGACTATATTACCCAAAGCAATCTATAAATTAAAGTCAATTCCTATCAAATACTGTCATTTTTTTCACAGAATTAGAAAAGTCAATTATAAAATTCACATGGAACCATAAAAGAGCAATCCAAAGCAAAAAGAAGAAATCTGGTGGCATCACATTACCTGACTTCAAATTATACTACAAGCCTATGGTAACTAAAACAGCATGGTGCTGGTATAAAAGTAGATGCATAGATTAATGGAACAGAATAAGAACTGAGAAATAAAGCCAAATATTTACAACTGACTGATCTTTGATAAAACACACAAAAAGATAAATGGGGAAAAGACACCTTATCAATAAATGGTAATGGACAAATTGGATAGGCACCTGCAGAAGAATAAAACTGGATCCCTATCTCTCACCATATACAAAAACTAATTCAAGATGGATTAAATACTTAAATCTAAGATTTGAAACCATGAAAATTCTAGAAGAAAACCTAGGAAAAGCTCTTCTGGACATTGGCCTAGCCAAGGAATTTATTACTAAGACCCCAAAAGCAAATGCAATAAAAGCAAAAGTAATAGAAGAGAACCTAATTAAACTAAAAAGCTTCTGCACAATAGAAAAAATAATCATCAGAGTAAACATACAACCTACAGAATGGGAGAAAATATTTGCAAACCATGCATTTGACAAAGGAGTAATAAACAGAATCTATAAGGAAATCACACAAATCAGCAAGGAGAAAAACAAATAATCCCATTACAAAGTGGGCAAGCAACATAGAGAGACACTTCTCAGAATACGACATACAAATGGCCAACAGACCTATGGAAAAAATGTTCAGTTATGAAACATGAGGAAAATGCAAATTAAAACCACCTTACCCCGGCCAGAATGGCTATTATAAAAAAGCCAAAAACAATAGATGTTGGCACAGATACGGCAAAAAGGAAATACTTATATACTGCTGATGGGAATTCAGTACAACCTCCATAGAAAACGGTATGGATACTTCTCTAAGAACTAAAAATAAATCTACAATTTGATCCAGCAATGAAAAGGAGTCATTATAGACTGCATGTGTATGTTTATCACAGCACAATTCACAATAGCAAAGATGCAGTCAATCTAAATGTCCATCAACTGATGAGTGGATAAAGAAAATGTGATGTGTGTATGTTTATATATATACATATATATATACACACATGTATGTATATATACATATATATATCACATATACACACACACATATATACATGCATGCTATGGAATACTACTCAGCCATAAAAAACAATAAAATAATGTCTTTTGCAGCAATTTGGATGGAACTAGAGACCATTATCCTAATTGAAATAACTCAGGAATGAAAAACCAAATACTGCGTGCTTTCTTCCTTATAAGTGGGAGCTAAAATATGGGTATGCAAAGGCATACAGTGATATAATGGACACTGGAGACTCAGAAGGCGGTGGATGGGAGGGGAGTAAGGGATGAAAAACTACCTATTGGGAACAATGTACCCTACTTAGGTGACAGGTGTACTAAAATCCCAAACTTCATCACTATGCAATTCATCCCTTTAACCCCAAACCACTTGTACCCCTAAAGCTATTGAAATAATAAAAATAAACATAAATGAATTGAGACAAATTAGAGTACCTACCTCATAAACTTGCTCTGAGGATTAAATGCAACAATGGGTTAAAAAAATTCTTAGTAAATTGAAGATCCATGTATCTAGCATACACTTCACCTATTAAATGTCATTTCAGCAGTAAGTGTGCTTTGATGTTGAAACAGAGACCTCCCTCAATATTGATTATTTTCTTCCTTAGCATCTGAACCCCTAATCCTATCTGGATACATGACACCTATGGAACAAAGACTGTTTTTCCTAGATTCTTTAAAGCTAGTCATAACCCTGTGACTAAATGTCTGCCAATTACGTATAAGTGGAGATACCAATAACATGTAACAGCTGGCTGGAAGACTTCTTAAAAGACATTGACCTAGAAAGAAGATGTGATGGCTGGAGTTCTTATAGCTATATTTTCCCATGAAGTCCAGGATCACTCTAGGGTGAATGAAGCAGTGAGCTAACAAAAGCCCAGATTTCTGAAGATGATGAAACAGCTACTTCAATGAAGCAGTTAATTCAGTTCTCTACTGCTACTCCCAGATTTCTTTAAATTTGAAAGAAATGAACTACTTTGTTCTTTCAGTCATTGTTTATTGTTACACATAGCTCAATTTAATCCCAAAACAGCAATATGTAATCTATAAATTTAAAAAGAAATACATATATGCGAGGTATATGCTATAGTGAACAGCATCAGAGATCATAACAGATAGAATGGCACAGACAGAAACACCCTGGATTTTGATGTAGGACCTGGGTTTGAATCCCAGTCCTTGTCAAGTGATGTTAACATTCTGTTTAATTCTCTGAGTCACTCATTGTGGTCTCATTTAAAGTAACATCACATGACCTCTATGCTTCCTTCCTGTTCCAGCTTCCCAATGCTTTATCATTTTCAGTATGATTATAAGCACCATCTACTTACAAGTAGGATACTATATAATGTAGGTAAGTGGTAGCTACATTTTCCTGGTTTAAAGATAGAAGTCAGTTTATAAATATTAAACCACTTCTCTGGAAGTTCCAGTGGTAGATGTTACAAATTTGACTGAAACTCCTCACTGAGAGAGCAAAAAGTAATTGAAGTTGCAGAAAAAGTAAAACTGAACACATAGGGGAAATTTGTTAAAGCACTTGAAGTCAAAGAGGAAGGGAGACTTGTTAGAAAAAACACACACACCTTAGAGGGGGAAAATAAAAAGAAGGAAAATCTGCTTCAAGGTGTCCACAGCTACTGTCAGGTGAGTGATGTAAATCAGTTCTTTTTCACACTTTTTTTTAATGCAAAATATATGTTCTTGGTGTTCAGGGACCATCCTGATTTCATGTAACCTGATTCTTTGCAATAAAGAAGGCAATTCATTAAATGTGTAACTAAATGTGATTCCATTTTTATAACCTTGCTAGGCTTCTTATATAAAAATAGTCACAGTTCAGAAAAAATAATTGTCAGATCAGGCAGTTGAACCTCTCTAAGCATCGAGTTTAAAAGAATCCCAACATGATCAGCATCTGCTGAAGTTTACTTACTGGTCGCCCTGCCTTCTGTCTCCCACTCTCTCATTCAAAAACGTATTTCATTCCTCAACTTGGGAAACATAGGTCATCCTTCTAGAAGTAAAATCAGGGAGGGTGTGAAGATGAAAAGTGTCCAGAGCACAGAGTGATAGAGACCAATATGTGGTATAAAGCCTGCCTCTCCCCTCCCTCCCAACCTGTGCTCATGTCAGACATCATTAATCAAGCGTGGCAGGCTCTAACTATGAGTGTGAATGTGCCTCATGATCCTTTCCTTTAACCACCATGCTCCAGGCAGCCACTATCAATTGATTGGAGAGAAAAACTGAGATGAAAACAGTTTTCTATCCCTGGCCTAGAGCTTACTCTGAATGATAGAACCAGATGCACTGAATTTTATTGAAATAAATGTCAGAAAAATTAACTGAATGGACTCAGGAAAGATTTGTCTTCTGGAAAGCAAGGAAAAGATTGAATGTAAAGGACTGCTGGTGCTGTGGCCCCATAGTAGAAAAATGCAACTAATAAAGTGGGATGAGGTAAAGCCGCAGGTACCAGGAATCCTCAGAAAAAGAGGGAACTGACCAGGCAAGGTGGCTAACACCTGTAATCCCATCACTTTGGGAGGCCAAGGTGGGCAGATCACTTGAGGTTAGGAGTTCGAAACCAGCCTGTCCAACATGGTGAAACCTCATCTTTACTAAGAATATAAAAATTAGCTGGGGGTGGTGGTCCATGCCAGTAATCCCAGCTATTCTAGAGGCTGAGGCATGAGAATCACTTGAACCCAGGAGGCAGAGGTTGCAGTGAGCTGAGATTGTGCCACTGCACTCCAGCCAGGGCAACAGCAAGAGTCTATCTCAAAAAAGAAAAAAATGTTTTAAAAGAAAGAGAGCCAAGGTGAGCCCTTGGAATTATGACCCAGTCCCAGGGACTTAAGTTTGACCCCTGTGGCCTAAAAGAGGAAATGCTTTGACCTGAAAGTTGGGCACTAAGTGTCCTTGCAAACTGGGAGCTACTGTGCTGTAGATAGACATCACTGCGGAGCTGCCTGTAGTATGAGGCCAGCCAGAAACTGGCAATAGAAAAGGTTCCTGGTATGTTGAATGTGGGCAGGCTCTGGAGCTGCAAATGATTCAGATCTACTTTCTATCATGTACTAATTTTCTGGCCTTAGGTAAGTTATTTAACTCTCTGAGACTCCATTTTCTGAATAGATAAGTAGGATTATCACAGCATAATTCTCATAGTGAAGTAGTAAGAATCTGGCACATAATAAACGCTTATTAAGTGGGAGCTATCACTGTAGTTATTCTTCTCACCATATCTCTGCCTCTGGAGAAAGCAGATTTGCAGGATCAAAAAAAAAAAATGACAAGAGTCTAAACTAACATTAGTTAGGCTACTACTGGGAATGCACATTATTGCCAACAGATATTAAGCTGATTTGCTGCTGGTTTTAGCCATTGAGAGAGCTGGTTTATTTATGGTGAACTTATACTTGACCTTTCATTGGTTTCAACTAAAAACTCATAGTATTCCCTCAGCCCTGAACTCTGACTTTCTGTCTTATCAGACCTGTACGACTATGAAAGTTCTGATCAGCTTCTCAGTCTCATGCCTGCTACATGTGAACTGGTAAGTCCCTCAAGGGGAAAATGGTCACAGAATGTCTCTGTGCTCCCTTTCCTTCAAGATCCTTGGACCCTCAAGTTCTGGCTGCCTTAGTAGTCCCCCAAGCTTACAAACAAATAACTTTTAAGTATTTGCATTCAGGTTACCGTTATTCTCAACAGGAACATTTGTCCCTAAATGCTAGTTGGTTGGCCATTGTCAAAAGTGGAGATAAAGTTTTACTTATTTGAGGTGTATTTAGAAGAATAACTAGCACATTATTACTTAATTTAAAAAGGAAGTCATTTGAAGAAAATAAAGTACCTAGTACACAAGTTACATATAAGAAACACTTGATATTTGCAGTTCACTGACTTAGTACATAGAAGGTTTCAATGTGTGTGCAGATCTTTATTACTTTTGCCTTGATTCCTATAAAAGTTCCCTTACTGGTCCCCCTGCCTTCTGTCTCTCACTTTCCTATTCAGAAACATACTTTATACCTCAACCTGGAATCTTTATAAAACACAAACTTGTTATATCAACCTCTTGACTGGAACCTTTCAATAGGTCTTATGTTAGTGAAGCTTCTTTCAGAGTAAAAATATCTTGAAGAATTAAGATAATTATTTTCTTGCAAATAATAGATCCAAAGCTAGCCAGTTTAAAAGTTGGTCAGTTGCAGTTAGTGATGTCAGAGCCCTGCATTGTTTCTCTAAATGTCTTTTTGTTTTCTATCTTTAGACACAAGATGTTTGCCATGGCTCCTAAAATCACGACAAAAGCATGAAGGAATCATGACATTGTCGCTCTCTTTTAATCACAGAGGAAAATCTTTTCAGAAATCCTCCAGAAACTTTATCTCATGCCTTACCGGCCAGGTCTGAGTCATAGATCAGCTTGCTGAAGCTGAGTCTGGGACAGTATCTGTGAAGTCCAGCCTCCATAGTGGGAGATGGGCTGTGTCAGTAAAAAAGAAGTAGGTAGCTCCCAGCACTTTGAGAGACTGAGGTGGGCGGATCACTTGAGGACAGGAGTTTGAAAACAGCCTGGCCAACTTGGTGAAACCCCATCTCTACTAAAAATATAAAAATTAGCCAGGCCTGATGGCACATGCCTGTAATCTCAGCTACTTGGGAGGCTAAGGCAAGAGAATAGCTTGCACCTAGGAGATGGAGGTTGCAGTGAGTCGAGATCACGCCACTACACTCCAGCCTGGGTGACAGAGCGAGACTCCATCTCAAGAAAGAAGAAGAAGAAGAAAGAAGGAGGAGGAGGAGGAGGAGGAAGGGGAAGGGGAAGAAGAAGAAGGTGGCTGCAAAGAAGAAGAATGTCTGGTTTCAGGCAAATACTAGTATATTCCCCAGCTACTATTTTTTTTACATGATAAAGTCTAAACCTCTTATTATTATGTTTTGGTAATTTTTTTATATTGCAAGAAACCCATACCACACTCAAGTGATAATTAGCATATATTGAAGAGATATAGGGGAAACAGAAAAGAACAGGAAACTAATTCAATAGGCCTCAAGGATAACTGGACATGAACCAGCCTCGACCACACCAGCTCTGAGCTCATCCAGAGCAGATGAGCTTAAGTGAGAGTCTCAGAACTCTACTCAGATGCATTGCTTGTGTTGAATCAGTTCCTCTCTGACTCTCCTGTCTCCAATGCTCATGTCTCTCAACCATTTCTTTTCCTGTCTACTGCTCCTGATCATTGCCCTGTGTATTTTTTTTTTCTTTTTGAGATGAAGTCTTGTTCTGTTGCCCAGGCTGGAGGCACAATCTCGGCTCACTGCAACCTCCACCTCCTGGGTTCAAGCAAGTCTCCCATCTCAGCCTCCCGATTAGCTAGGACTAGAGGTGTACGCCACCATGCCTGGCTAATTTTTGCATTTTTGGCAGAGACAGGGTTTCAACATATAGGTCAGGCTGGTCTCGAACTCCTGATCTCAGGTGAGCTACCCACCTCAGCCTCCCAAAATATTGTGATTACATGTGTGAGCTACCGCGCCCAGCTGACCCTGTGGATTTTAAATTCATACTTCCTGTGACAAGATTTGGCAGGTCAGTCTCTTTCCTAAAGAGGCCAATTCCCACTCGCCCCAAGAGATTCAACTTAAGCATTATGGGCAGTGATTGCTGCTCGTTTAGGGGACCTTGTTGTATGCTTCTTGGGCTTTTGATTATTTTACTACAGAACCTACATTTCTCTCTTACAACTGTCTCTCCCTGGAGGCTTATTAAAATACAAATTTCCAAGTCTGGCCCCTGAGAGATTCTGACTATAAGGCAAGAATGGACTCAGGAATCTGTATTTTAATCAACAGGATTCTGAGGAAACATGGACCACAGTTTTAAAACATCTATTTGACGTATTAACTTTTAGATACTAAGTTTTATGAATTCTCTCAAATAGTTTTGCAGTTATTATTAAAACCCTGAATTCACAACTGAGGTATCAAAGGCTCAGAAAAGGCAGATGCAGACAATTAGGAAATAAAGGAGCCAGGATCTGAACTCAGTTCTGCTTGCTCAAAGCACCTGCCCTTGTGTCAGCACCCTGGCACTCCCTAGACCTCCTCCTTCCTCTTTAGCAAAGCTGGGCCAGGTCTGGGTCTCAGAATGGCTGCTAGGGAAGAAGATGGTCACTCCATGAGAGGGCACTGATGGAGCCCCAGTGTCTCTCTTCTCATTAGCTTTTGCTAAGAAAGCAGTGGAATCCAGTCAACTGAGTTTTCCAGAGTGGTTAGTTTGAGAAGAGGAAATCACAAAGTATGGTGCCAAGTTTTTTTTAGCAGTTACCTTTTCTGCAGCCACAAGAAGTTCTTTGAAGACTTGTCACTATGGTACAGAGCATCTGGGCTTTTCTCCCACTTACTCAAAATGATGGCATGGCAGGAAAATAAGGCCTGCATGGCTTCAAGAGGAAATGCCCTGAGGTGAGGCTTCCAGTTTCCTTTACATGGGAACCACACTGTGAGATTCAGAAGATCTGAGTTCAAATTCCAACACTGTCACTCAGCAGAGTGTAGTTAAATTATTTCATTTATCTAGGGTTTTTCTCCAAAATAGGTGTAAGATCTCAGCCTCAGTTCTGTTGTTGGAATTAATTGAGATTCTTGATTTGAGCGTGATACTTTAGTGACCAGGAGAAACCTCTTCCTCAGAGATGAAAATAGCCCACTGTTATTCAGGAAGCACTTGCACAGCCACGTGCTCACTCATTTCCCCCCACACCCTGCATCCCCATGCTGCTCCAGGAAAGTAGGAGAATCCAGGATTTCCTAAGGAATGGTTAGGGATGATTGTTGCTCAACTTCCACACCAGATACACACTTGGAGGAACAAAAGCAGACCAAGGTATATCAGGGGAACCCTCAAACAGTAGAGCCAGCACAATGACTGAGACCTGTGTCTGCATTTATTATAATATTTAGGCTTTCATCCTGCACCCTTGCCACATCTGTGCCTTCTCATTGCTTACTTGAAAAAAACCTGCAAAATGAAGAAAAAGGAAAATGCATTCTGTTCTCCACTGTAGCCAGCATTGGAAGGCATCTTCCTTTTACACTGGCAACAGCTTCTCCCCAGCTTTGGCTACAGAATAGAGGAAAATCCCAAGAGACAGAAAGGGTTGTGGGAACATGAAGGGAGAAAAAGTGAGTAAGAAACATGTCCAGTTAACACATATGTATGGTCAGTATAGTGTTTTTGATGCAGGATTTTTCTCAGCCCTTCAGCAGACTTGATGCAGGGGTGCCCCTTCTACTAGGTCCACTGTGCTTAGCCCCTTATAGGAGGGAGCATGTAAGCAAGCAAATGCAAGATCCCACCAGCTGTTCAACATAGAAGCAAGCTCTGTCTGGGGCCTGTAGTCAGAGGGCATGCCGTTTTGAGGGGAATGCGGCAGCACCCAGGTTAGGGCACTCTGAAACCCAGAGGGGTGTTACTGTGCTCCTTTAGTTCTGCCATCTACAATCTGATGGACAGCAGTGTGTTAGCAGGTCAATTGGCCCCTTGCCTCATCACATGGGGTGGCTGTCCTCTACCAGCAAGGGCAAAGGGCCAGTGTGACAGTCTTTTCCGGGTGCCCACATTTGGTGGGTCCGGAGCTCTTGTCCAGCATCCAAGAAGCATGAGGTCACACAGATGACTGAAGGATGGAGAAGGCAGAGAATTTTGTTGAATGATGAAAACGGCTCTTAGTGGAGAGGGAAGATGGACAGGGGATAGGAAGGGCAGGTTGTCCTCCCCAAAGTTAGGTTGTCTCTTCCCTGAAGTCAGACTATCTCCTCTTCTACTGACTGAGTCTATAGCCTTTATAGGCACAGGATGGGGAGTGCATGCTGATTGGTCTGTGAGTATGCAGAAAAGGTTAAAGTGAAGACACCACTCAAAGGTGGGCATGACGGTGTAGAAAACTAATTAGGAAAGGGTAGGTAAATGTAAAACAGAGGAAGGTGGGAGATCAATCAGAGGAAACCACGCTAAACAGGAAGACAAGTTCTCAATCTGATCCAAGGATTTAACTTGTATTTGGCTTTCAGGAGTTAAACTGTCTTCAGCTTGGAGGTGGTGTTTCACTGCATACCCGCGCCTATCTGCCCAGGCCATTTGGCTGCCTCCTGTCACTGTCACTTTGTTTAGAAGAGTGTGTAATTATTATTGTTTGAAAGAGTTGTATACCCAAGTGTAACATGCATACACATAGAAAGTAAACAATTTTAAAGTGGAGAGCTCAATTATTTTCATAAAATGAACACCATTAAAAAAGATCAGGAACCAGAACAGTAGCAGCACCCCAAAAGCTCCTCTCAAATTCCCTTTCAGTCACTACTTACTATTCTGGCTCCCGCAGCACGGATTCATATTTCCTAGTTTTAAGTATCTGAAATCGTACAATGTCTATATCTCACTTCTTTTGCTCAACTTTATGTTCATGAGATATATCTATATTGTTGCGTGTAGTGTAGCTTATTCATTCCCTTTCTGTATTCCACTGTGTGAATATTTCACAATACATTGGTTCATTGCAATGTTCATATTGGTTTCCAGTTTGGGGCCCTTATAAACAGTGCTGCTATGAATGTCCTTGAACTTATTGTTTGGTGGTTACCTGTACTCATTTCATTTGAGTGTATGTTGAATAGCTGAAATACCAGGTCAAAGTTATGTGTATGTTCGACTTCAGTAGATAACACCCACGAGTTTTTCAAAGTGGTTATACATTTCCACCTGCCATTTATGAGAATTTCAGTTGTACCACATCACTGACAACACTTGACGTTTTTCTTCTTTTTCTGTATTTTTTTCTTTTCTTTTTAGCCCTCCTCGTGAGCATATAGTCAGCCCACTGAGTTTTAACAAGTAGAATTCCATGTGTGCAGAACAAGCCATCTGAAGACTTGACAAACCCCATCAGTCCTTACAGTCTTACACAAGGCCACCTCACACATATATTTAGTTTGAAACTCTGATGTGTACTCTCTTATTGAATTCTGTGAACAAATGTGAACCTGAAAGAGTCAGTCCTTCAATATGGATCCCCAGTGGTAAACGGCCAAATTTAAATAGAGTCAAGCAGCCATCTGCTGATGAGGGATCACATACGTACTCTGTGAGTTCCCTGAAAACGTGCACCTTTTCATCTTTGGGACTTTCACAATTCACCTGAATCAGCCATTTAGAGCACACCTGTCTTGGCCAATCATAGCTCAGCTACACTGACCAATTAGAACTCAGCTTTACCAACCAAGCAGAACTAAGCAAGTTTCAATCCTTCGCTTTGATGAACAGACCTGACTGGGAATCTGGGTGGGAACTTTTGCTATAAAACCAGAGCCTTCCGTTTGTTTTCAGGAGTGTACCTTCCTTTTACATGAGCAACTGCATCTCTCCAGTTTGCAAACTGTTCCTGGGAATAAAGTATCTTTCCTCCAAATTCCTTTTTAGAAAACTTTTGTTCTTAATTCTAAAACCAATTATGCTATTATTTATATTTTACTGAATCTGAAACTGAAACTCTCTTGCTGTGTGACACTGGGTCAATTAAAGTGAGTAAGTGAGCCAAGTGCCATCAAAGGCTGGACTTGAGCTCCTACAAACCTAATAATTAACTGGGGACAAGGCAGGTTGGTAGTAAAGAGACACATTTTATTGGGAAGACTGGGTTCTCAGTCCTGCGTGCATCCTTCTCTAACCAGCTATACCAACTTAAGCAAATTAATATGCTCTTGAACCTCAGTTTACTTGCCTGTTAAACAGGGATGACAATGAGATATCGTAATGTTTGGTGGATTCAGTGAGACCACATAAATGAAAACAGCTGGCACAATGTCTGAAAAACAGTATCAGTTAAAAGACTTTGATGGAAGACAGTAACTTGAGTACAGTTACCTT